GGCTCAGGAGACTCACCACCCTTTCTGACGTTCTCTGAACTTGCTAACCAAGGACTCAAGGGATGCTGGAAAGACCACATGCCTGGCAACATCTTGGGGTTCCTAGCACTGGTACAAGACTGAGAGGAAAAGCCTAATTATCTGAAAATGTCCTATATTTTCATTAATCTTGAATAAAGATGGAGAAAGGGGGGAAGATGATGGAAGAGAGAAAATGAAAATAATAACAGTGCTGTGCTTGTATTAAATGCCTACTTTGAACGAGGCAGTGTTTTAAGTGGATCACACAGTGTAATCTACCAGATCACTCCCAATTTACAGATGAGAAAACTAAAGTGCAAGTCCCTTGACACTGGATCAGACAGCTACTGAATGGTGGAGCCAGGGTTCCAACCTACTTCCAAAGCCTATACCTTTGCAACACATTGTCAGACGTAGAGGTCATTTATCTTTCTTCTTTAGTACATTCTCACTGGTACTGCTATAATGTCCATGGTACAATAATTTAAAAGTCAAGGGTGAGGTAACTTGGACCACTCTCATCACCGAGAATAAGTTTTCCAATAGATGGGCACGTTGCACATACCATGCCAGAACTTGGGAATCCCACTCCCCAGAGCCTCAGCCTATCCCCTCAAGACAGCTGACCTCACAGGACTGAGCAGTGGCAAGCCCCACAGAGACCAAGGCATGGCAGGTCTGAAGAGTACACATGAGAATCTCCAGAAGAACACGGAATACAGTGCAGATTGCAGAAGTTTGCCCAGGAGACAGACATCCGGTCACATGGGCAGGAAGTCCTTTTAGCCTCATAAATCCCTCATCCACATCCTACATGGAAAGAGACCATCTTCGCCTACATGACCTCCATGACTTCAGTCCCAGTCATCTGTGTATGAGCCCTTGTGGGTTTTTAAAGACATTTTTATAACAGGGTGGTTTTCAGTTCACAGAGGTTGCCTTGCAGTCCTAGACATATTTTTTCCATTTTGAAAAACCAGACTAAAATAACTAGACTAAAAGAAAATGCCTTGTTATAATTGATCATTAGATTTTGAAAATAAAGCTTTCAAAAAATGCTTGGGAGACCAATGAGTGAATAGATGGTAAAAGTGAGATTTCATTTAGATCAATGAGCCCAATATTCTAAGGTACATGTTAGGGCTTGAGATAGAGACCCACCCATCCACCCATTCATCCATTCATCCATCTATCCATCCACCATCCATCCATCCACCCATCCACCCATCCATCCATCCACCCACCCATCCATCCATCCACCATCCATCCATCCACCCATCCACCCATCCATCCATCCACCCACCCACCCATTCATCCATCCACTCATCCATCCATCCACCCATCCATCCATCCATCCATCCACCCATCCATCCATCCATCCACCCACCCATCCAGCCACCCAACCACCCATCCATCCACTCATCCATCCATCCATCCATCCATCCATCCACCCATCCACTCATCCATCCATCCATCCATCCATCCATCCATCCATCCATCCATCCACTTATCCATTCATCTGTCCATCTGTCCATCCATCCATCCATCCATCTATCCATCTACCCACTCATCTATCTACCCATCCACCCACCCACCCATCCATTCATCCATCCACTGATCTATCCACCTATCCATCCTCCATCAATCCACCCTTTATCCACCCATCCATCTGTCTATTCATCTATCCATTCATCCATTCATCTATCCATTTATTTACATATCCATCCATTCACCCATTCACCCATCCATCTACCCACCTACCCACCCACCCATCCACTCATCCATCCAGCCATCCATTCATCAATCCATCCATCCATCACCCTACCCTTCCACCCATCCACCCATCTATCCATCCATCCACCCATCTACGTATCCATCCTCCCATCCATCCATCTAGTCACCAAAGTTTTACTGAGAAGCTATTGTGCATCAGGCACCATTTTAGGAACTAAGGAAATCACAAGGAACAAAACACATAAGCCCCTACCCTCACCACTCTTACATCGCAGTAGGAGAGACAGACCAGAAACCAGTAAAGGAGTAGGTCAGTAAAATGCTTCCTGCACCAAACAACACAATGGATCCCAAATCTTCCTAACACAAAGGTAAATCAGAGCCATTTCCTCATTTGCTGTTATCATCAAGGATCAGTTGTAAAAACAAACAAGAGTGTCTGGTATGGAAATGTTAACAGTACAAAACCGTATTCCAACGTAGCAGAATTATCTAAGGGCAAATACTGCACGCAATATTTTGATGACAGAAGCTTTATTTCTCATTGTCTATATCCTTGATTTAAATATATACATATATGTGGGTGCACATGTATCAAGATTCAAGTATTTCAATATAAATTTTGTATTCAAAATACTTTTCCTGATTTCAGTTGATTGCCTATTTCGAGCCAATGTTGGAGCAGTAGTTTTGTTCCAAATCAAAACAAGGATTTCTCTCTCTCTGTCTCTCTCCTTCTCTCTCTCTGTGTGTGTGTGTGTGTGTGTGTGTGTGTGTCTGTCTGTCTGTCTGTCTTTCTGTCTCTCTCGGTCTCTCTCTTTATCTCTCCTTCTCTCTTTCTCTGTCTGTCTCTCTCTCTCTCTCTCCTATGCTCAACAATCTCTCCTTGCTCCCCCACCCTCTAGCCCTAAGGAGCCCAAATACCCAAGCTGCCTTCCAAGCTGAGTGGTATCAAGGGCAAAACCTGTTTTTTCCCATTTATTTTTCTGTTGAAGGTCTCTGGGGCTGTGAGGGCTGTGAGGACTGCGGTGCTGGCTGAAGCCACATCACACAAAGGCGCTGAGATAGGAGGACAAACCTTCCCACTTTGATTTGAGTGTGTAATTGTTTGAATACATCTCGCCCGCACTACAATAATGTCATCCTTGGTTGACACAGATTTTAAAGCCCTTTGAAAAGGTGGAATGTTATCAATCATGAGCGTGATTATAATGGGATTTAAGTGGAAGACGCTAAGATTCAGGCCCTCGCTCGGGCCAGGCTCCTGACAGAGGAGGAGGGAGAGAGGAGGAAGAGGGCTGTATTTCAGCCAAGTAAAGGATGCCCTGCGCCGTGTTCACCCGCACATCTTCTCCCCCAAAGCCGAAGACATCTGAAGAAGCACCATGGAACTCTGGAACTCTGACAGGAATTTCCCCCACACACTAAAAATATCTGCTCTTGTTCCTACTAGGTTAGACCAACAAGAGCTGATTGGGCCCCCCCAGGGGACATATGGCGATTTCTGGAGCTATTTTGATTGTCACAATGGAGGAAGTGTTGGTGGGGGCATGCTACCAGCATCTAGTGGGCAGAGACCAGGGATGTTGCAAAACATTCTACAGTGCATGGGAGGGCCCTGCAACAAATCACCATCCAGCCCAAAATTTCAATAATGCCAAATGTGAAAGACCCTGTGTCAGACCCAGAGAGGCTGGGCCACAGCAAGAGGAGCGGATGGGTCAGAGAGCGGCATTTCTGGGGAAGCGGTTTAAAGCTACTTCCACTGGCTCAGCTATACCTCTGATTCACCAGCACACAGAGGCAGGTGACAGAGGGGAGGAAAAAACCAAATCACTTCCTCCTTTGCCTTTCAATCTAAAACACACCTTCCTTATTACGCATCAGAAGGGGCTGGAAAATCGACAATTTTTTTTTTTTCTTCTTCTTCAAGGCAAAACAACCCAGGCCCAACAAAAACAAAATAATCTCTCTGACAGATCGCTGGGATGGTTGGACCTCTCTCCTGACAAATCACAACAGGGCCTACAGATGTGGAATCCGCCCATCAAGCCCAGTCACATGCTCAGGATTACTAAGGCAAAGAATTGTGAATTTCATTAAATATGTTAAAGGGGAAAAATCAGCTTTGAAAAATAGTAATCCTGTCTTTCAACAAAAATATTATAGGAAGCTATGAATTTGGTAGATCGGAATAGGGTGTTGGTACATGTTTTACTAAGGTAATATAATGGTACACTATTATTAGATCACATTAATCATTACTGTGCCAACGGCACTGACAGCCCCACTGAAAAGGATTGAAAGGCCTGGTAATGGATATAAATTACCCATTGTGTGATAAAAGGATTTTTACTAAGAAGGTAAGAATAAAACAGCAAATTTCTAATATAACTGTTGTGTAAAAACCAAAATAAAAGTAATCCACGGTCAGGAGTATCCACAAAATCAGAAGTAAGCACTTTTCCAGCAATATAAAGTCACGATAAAAATATATATATATATATATATATATATTCAGTACAATATAAAATTAATTCCTGAGTGCATAATTCTGCTATCAATTTCCCTGGTTTATGTAGTGACTTCTGAGACGTGTGGTCAGGAGAAGGTGGGCTTGGCTAATTACATCTGAGGGTGAGTTTACAGAGATATCAGGGGCAGCCTAAGATGAGGCCACCGAAGATACCAAATACACATGTCGCCCTTTCTTTTGTATTTTAAGTTTGTACCAGCTCCTGCACCGGAAATACACCCTGTCCAGGAGTCTGCGATCTGGAGTCTGACTGAGGTGACAAACACAGAGCTGCTTTGGGACAGGATTCATCCAAGACTGGGCCAAGCCGCTGAGTCACCCGGTGAGTGATGAGGAGCCCTACATCAGACGGCACTTGGACGAAGTCACTTGGGCTTTAGCAAAAGCCCCACCAGCTCTCAGCCCTGGTTCCAGGCTGCTGGCTGGCAGACAGGGACTCAGGGTGTCACGCAAGAGAGAAAGAAGTCACCCTTGTTGGGCTTTGCCTCATGGGGGGAGCCTGTTCAGAGACTCAAGAACATGTCTCCACATTGCACGTTCACCCCACCCACAAGATATGGAACCAATGCTACCTCCCAGACACCTGTGACTCTGGAAGTTTCTCCATAGTTCTGCACAGGGATCAGCAGCCCAGAGAAGGCAGCCTGGACTTCCCCACAAACTCACAGACAGACACCAGTTCAACAAACTACAAATCGATGGTCCTTACCAGGCAAGTCTTAAAGCAATGGATCTCCCTCCCGGTTGAAGGATATTCTTAAAGCCGTGGTGGTCAGGAACTGCAAAAATAAGACCTGTTAGAAACTGTAAATGTCACACACGTCGACTTCAGTAAGTCACATAAACAGCATTCATCCAAAGTAACAATTTGCTGGGTTAGTTGCGAGCCTAAAAACCTTGAATAGCCCCCACTGCCCCCAATTCTTTGAGCAATTTAAAAAATGGGAACTATGTGACCTTTGCTGCAATGATCCAAATTTCCTCAGCTTGTTTTCAGTGGGAAATTGCCACCTGCACAAAAAGAACTTCTAATCATCTCTTATCTTCTCTATATGGGACAGAAGAAGAAATAGGAGCTAATATTATAAGGGCTCTCTCTCTCTCTCTCTCTCTCTCTCTCTCTCTCTCTCTCTATCTCCTCTCTCTCTCTCTCTCGCTGTCTCTCTTCTTTAGAATTCTCAAAGTGAGGAAGTACCCAAGGGTTCTTGCTTTTTCCCTGATTTGTGGAACCCTTTACAGTAGACCAAAATTCCACCCAAATTTCAACTGGCCAAGCCTGTTTGGTAGCCAGTGGATACAGAATGGGAATCTGCCACTGACAGAGGCTTAGAGATGTTGTGTTTGGCATCAAAGTCCTCTCCCCCGAACCCAGACCAGGAAAGCAGCAGACAGTGAGATTTGCTACTTCTTCATTCTGTGTTATCACTGAAGTAAGTCCTACATGGGTGATCCCACCTCCTATGGCATGCTCAGAGGTGATAAAGGCCAAGAAGGAAAGCTGGGATGTTCATCTATGATGGCTGCAGAGCTGCTGGCTAAGGGGTAATCAAGGAAGGCCAGCCCCCAGCCTGTGATCTCCAGTCCACTCCTCACCCAGTGCAATTCGGATTCTCATTTGTTTTGCCATGTCACAGAAGGGATGTTATGGGGCAAACATAAGTTCCCTTAATAAATTATATTTTACTGAAAGTGAAGTTGTAAATTCTGATCACAGAGGTAGAATTTTGCTATGGATTCAAAAAATCTGATTCTGCACATGGAAAACCAGAAGATACATTTGGAGGACTGGTGGCAGCCCCACCCCAAGAGGTTTGTACTGATTGAACCACTGGCTTGCAACACTTCACTCAACTCCAAGGCTGACTTCTGGCAACCAAAAAGGTGTTTGCTGACTGCATGCTCGAAAAGTGTTTTCTCAGGGTGCCACAGGGAAGCTGCTGTGTATAAACACATTTCTACCTGCCTATCCTGAGACATAAAGCAAAAGCTGACATCTCAACCATCTCCAACAAGGAAAGAAATTACATCTCAGTGTCTGTCTGTCTGTCTCTCTCTCGCCCCTGAATCAGATGATCTTTTGTATTTTGTTTTGTTTTGTTTTGTTTTCCTGTGTCACTCAAAATCTAAGGAGTGAGGAACAAATGCCCGATGTTACACTTTCCAAGGTTCTGTCCTACCGCTGATCTAAACAGGTCCCCAGCACCCAGCTGGCTCTGAAAACACTTATTTGCTTTGCTCTAAGACCTCCTTATGTTTAGGGAGGGGGTTGCAGGAGATGGGAGACACACTCAGATTTTATATCTAGGCTCATGACTTGCAAAATTCTAGGACTATTCTCCAGGGGCCATTCACTTAGAAGCCCTGTAAATGCCAATGACAGGAGAACACAGAGAGGCTTCATCGGGGGAAGTCCCACACCAGTTTGTCCAGCTTCACGCCATTGATCAGAACACCGTCTCCTGCAGTTGGCACCGGGGCAGTGATGGGCACAAACCCCTCAGGTTTTACGCTCTAAATCATGAAAGGGCCCAGCACAAGCCTCATAGCTACATTGGAGGCTATGCTCTCCCGATGGATTAGTGGGTTTATGCAAGGGTGTCTGACCTGCGTGAGCAAGGTTAGCCCAACATGCCAGCAGGGCAGCCGATGAGTACAGCCTCACTGGGCCCTTAGGAAAAGAAATCAAGTTAGTTCCATCTGTGCCTTTCTGATCCAGTCTAAACAGGAGGAGGATCCTGGTGTCTGATGTCGTTATAGTCACTGCGGGTCGGGGAAAGGTGACTGCATCCAACCGCAGATGCTCTCGTGATGCAGGGTGGGGAGGAAGGGAAACACCAGTAGAGTCATTCTATCTTCCTCAAAAAAAGAAACAGCTCTTTTGGTGCAAGTAAGTGACTTGTATTTAGAGACAACACAGTCAGTGGCATAACCAGAAGCAGACTGGACATGAGGCCTCCCCTCACCCTGTCCCCTACAGGGACCCCAAGCTGAGGGGCCACCCAGTAGACTCTGCCCAGGAGCCCAGTTTGGTGCAGTTCAGAGTAGGGGTGGGAGGGGGAAGATTGAAAAGGCGGCAGAAAGCATGGTATGAACTAAGAGGGGTTGGGTAGCCGCCACCTCATCAAAATAAGGGAACCTCCACAGGTGCGTTTCAGTGCTTGAAATTCCACCCACTGTACACCGATGGCTCCTGCTTCCCTCTCAAAGCACAGATAAGGCTCCCACACAGCCCTCCCCAGCAACATGGATGAGCTTAAGAGACCTGTTCACTCGGTGGCTTGGAGACTCCCTTCCCAGCACCTGTGGTGCACTGGGGCCTCTGGGGTAGATCAGGGGCCAAGCAGGTCTGCCCATTGGATGCAGAAACCACCCATCGTGTGAAGGTCCTGGTTGCCAGGACAAGGAGCACATCAAAGGCAGGGCACTGGGAGTGGGGCAGAGTTGACTCAAGCCCTTAAGCAAGTGCAGGCAGGGCGTTGGTGGAGACAGGGCTGGAGGCCAGGGAGGGGCAGAGAAGTGCAACAGAGTGGCCTCAAGTTCCAGAAAGGGGACTGAGAAGGTTTGCAGGGGCTGAAGAAGGGAAGCCTGAATGGCCACTTCCTGGGTGGACCCTGGCTGGAGTACAGCAGGGATGTAGGGTGCTGGGAGTGAGGAGGAAGAAAGAGAGACTTCCTAGAGCCAGAGGTATTCCCAAGGCCTCTCTGAGGAAGGGGAGACAAGAGGAGGGGTGGAAAGTTCTGAGAGAGGGACTTCAAAGGGGAAGTGGGAGCACGGGAAGATATGGATGGGCACCAATCAAGCGAGGAAGTGGAAGGTGCGACGGCAGCTCTCACCCATCTTGGCACACAGTGGGCCTACCCTGAGCGCACACACTCCCATCCCTGTGAATTCCACAGGCAAGGCAGAACCCACCCCGCAGCCCAGCCGTGTTCACTGAATGAGCCCCGCCGAACACCGACTTACAAGCTAGCCCTGCACGGGCCCCTCTGTCCACCAAAGCGGGAGGCCACACGGGCTCCCCACAGGGGACGGGGCACCCTCCTCCCTCCCATATCCTCCCAGAGCTGCCTACACAGGAGCTCTGAAGGAGCCAGAGAAACCCTCCCTGAGCAAAAGCCTAGCCTGCTTGACTCAGACCCATGGGCTCTGGGAGAGGGTGATTCGCCAGTCAAGAGGTGAGCAGAGACGGGGTACCCCCAGCATCACCATGCTCTGAGATGGGCCCAGAGTTTAACAAAGAGCGGTCCTCCAGGCCAGCGAGTTTCCTGCCTGTGGGCACCGCACACTTGTCTCCACCCCGCACCATGACAATTTGAGGACATGAGAGCAGCAATGAACGTCACCATCACTGAGGCCACAGCAAGCCCCGGGCACATGCAGAGGACCGTCCGGCATGTGGGGAAACGGTGGTGTCAGACTCTCCTCCCAGCCCCTCACCTCTGTCGGAGGACCTGGGTGGATGGGAGGGAGGGGAGGAGGGAAGTTAAGACAGAAGGATGGAAGGAGGACAGGCAGGAGGATGGGAATGGAAGGATGGAGGAAAGATGTAGAGAGGGAGGAGAGAAGGACAGAAGGATGGAGACGGATGCAAAAATGGAAGGGGGAGGGAAAACAAAAGTAAGGAGGGCAAGAGGAAAGAGAGGGTCCGAAGGTGGAAGAGAGGACGAAAGAAAAGGGGCAGATGGAAGGATGAAAGTGCAGACGGACGGATGGAGGCAAGGCGGATGGACGGAAGGAAAGGTGCGAGGGCTGCTTCAATTTCCCCCTCCTGGTCCATGTTCCATTCTCTCCTGCGGGAGGTGGAGTGTATTCCTGGGGAGACACAGGATGGCCCTTCCCTAGATGGGTCACTGGGAGGCCGGGCAGCAGGAACATGGGCTGTGTGCAGAGGCATCTGAGTGAGTGGCATTTGGGAGCCAGGGAAACTACTTTCCTTCCAGAAAAACAGTTGGGCAAGGAGGATTTGGACAGAAAGCCAGCCCGGCTCCTTCGGCCCTCTGCCCAGGGAAGGACATGGTTAAGACCTCCAGAGGGGAAACAGCTGGGTGCCCAACTAAGTCTCCCCCCAGATGACACCTGAGTGCAGTGGCTCCCAAGCAATGCCTTGGAACCCTCTACCGAGAGCAGACTCTCCGCGTCCAAAGGTACACAGGGCCTCTTCTCCAGTGCGCACCCCCTGGGTGCTGGCAACTTCCCTCCCATGGTTCTAAGACCTCCTCCCAGCCCAGAGCTTGACATTCTCAAGTTCCACTAGCAACAAGGACCCTACCAAAAAACCACAGCTCCTCCAACCGGATCTGGAAGTTTTGCCCCAAGCACTGAGTGACTCTTTCTCAGAGAACCCTGGGGGATGAACATGGCCCCAAATGACACACCCATTGTTGCTACAGGTTTCCAACAGGAGTGGGGATCCTGGTGTGGAAAGCTCCCAGGGAGGAGCCTCGGAGAATCAGTCACTCACTCAACCATTACCCATCCAGGGCCCCTGCAGTCAGGCTCTGTTCTGTTTCTGGGGATCCAGTGATAAACACCGTGTCCACCTGCGTGGAGCTCATGTTTCCAAGACCAGATTCAAATGAAAGACAAAAGTAAAATATACCAGCAAATAACAATCTCTAAGAAGATAATAAAGCTGGAAGAAATGACCGTGACAATCAGAGAAGACCTCTCTAAGGAAGCAACAACTGGCGAGGGACCAGAATAAAATAAGGGAGTGAGCCCTGTGAGAATGCAGGGAACAGAGATATAGGAAGAGTGAACGGCGAGTGCAAAGGCCCTG